CCATAATAAAAAGCAGGACTTTAGGCCCTGGCAGAGGCCAGCCAGCAGATTACAGTTAATTCTTTTCATCTGGAACGAAAGAAAATGATGATTTTAGCTTGGCCGGTGGGACTGCAGGAACAGAAACGGAGCTAAATTCATCTTTCCTTTTAATTCCATCAGTTTGGGAAGACTTTAACCCTTTGATGCATAATGGTCACTACAGTGGACAGGTACTCAAAATTGTTATTTATTTGTTTTTGCTATTAAGCACAGCTGTTGAAGACTTTATTGCATTTGAGCTCCTCCATTTGGACTTCAGTAAGCCAAGTCAACATATTTCATGTTCAGAATGCACGCTGCCCACTGAGGTGGACATGTAATAAATTATTTATAAATTATAAAATTTTACAAAAAAATTTGTTGAAATTTGTTTAATTCACACGTAAAGACCAATAAAAAATTGTTAAAAAAAAATCATGGTTGAAGATTTCATAATTCATGCATCAAAGGGTTAAAAAGCTGATGTTTTTATTTCAGGTTCGTGTTCAGGTTTTTCCTCCTCTCCTGCTGCTCTCTAATGCGTCCCCCTGCCAAAAAGCGCTCTCATTTCTTTTTATTTTAATGAACACCTCCATTTCTTGAACCTGCGATAATAAGTTTTTTCTCCAGGCAGCTGACATGTGGATGGCGAGAGGAGGCGTGAAATGACCGTGTGATGGATTTGTCTATTAAAGCAAGCTGAGCAAAAACCAGAGGAGCCCCTCTGGCTGTCTATCTGTCTGACTTTCTAAGTGCCTCTCCTTCCTTCTCCATCATTTTCCTGTTTTTTATTATTTATTTTTCTTACGCTTTAAAAATCGACTAACAAAACACACACAGCCAGCGCCGCTCAGTCTTCCTCTCCCGTAAGGGAACAGCTGCAACATTTGCAGGAATATTAGCTCGAGTGATGTATTTGTTAAAACAGTGAGTCATCATTACAGGTTAGCAACAGAACGTGCGTTCGGGTTCTGAACCCAACTCTAAAACAGCACACCTGTTACCAAAGTGCCCAAATGTTGTAATTAATCACCGTTAGTTCTGCTTTTTACCGAAGCTCAAATCCTGCTGAATTGAGCTTTGTGGGAATGTGAAAGGAACCATGCAGGGAAAGAGTTTTTCACGATGCAGCCTGAGTGTGCAGGTCTGTTTCACGAGCTGAGACGCCCCGCTGAAGTCATTTGTTTTCTGCAGGTGACACCGGTGACACTCCAGCTTTGCCAAAACTCTGCGGCCTCGGAGAGCTGCAGCACATCTGCTTGTGAAAGCAGCAAAACACAAAAATGAGAGCAGGGCTGTGAGGGTGAGGCCGATGATGGACACCCATCAAACTCTCAGTCAGTGTAGCTATGAGCTAACCAGTGTTGGGCAAGTTACTTCAAAACTGTAATGCATTATTTATTACTTGTTACCCTCATTTTAAAGTAATTCATTACATTACAATATTACTGATTTTAAAATGTAAGGCATTACATTACTTTGGCATTACTTTAAGTTACTTTCACCAAAGCAACTTCAGTATGAATCTGGTAATGTGACGCTCAGTGAGCTCATGACATATATGTGGAAGGTGATGTGGTGTCTGAGCTAGGATTGCTGTTAAAAACAGTCAGATATACTAACAGTGCTTTAAAATGATTGTTTATTAAATACAAGCAACAACAATCTGTACTCTCAGCACGCTGCCATCTTATAGGGCCATCCGAGCAGGGAGTGAGGTGGTGGGGGCTCCAAGCCTATATTTGCCTTGGTCCCCAAATGCCTTGATACGGCCCTGGATGTGGGACTGACTTCTGGGGTGATCTGATTCTATCACATGTATAAATATTAAATGCTTATATATTATTGCTTTTCACTGGTAAAAATGTGTATTGGGGATAAATCTACCTACTTTTTTTCTTTTCAAGCACTTTGTTTTGTTTTGTTGGTTTTATTTGAATAATTTCCTGCCCTTTCTCGCTCTAACCTTCCTGCATGCTGCATGTTTTCTCCGTCTTCCAGAAAAACTGTTTCCTAGATTTCCTACTTTCTAACTAATCAGCCAAAGGGATCTACCGAACGCAAAAAAAATAAAATAAAAAAGCTTCGCGCTGCGCTCCTGCAGCAATGAGTTGAAATCACCGGCGCACAGCTGCAAAGAAACGTGAAATACCAGAGAATATGGGCTGATATAAACGATCGCAAACGAATTATTTTGTTTTGTTGGAGCGATTTTGTGAATATAACAGCGGCCACGCGCAGGACGCAGCTGGAGGATTTGAGCCGTTACCGCTGCGTCCTCTCTGCTCATAGAATGCCCGCAAAGCTGAGTCCATAAATGACGTCATATATGTGGATACTGGATCTTTTTTCAGGCTTCCCACAAACCCACATCTTAATTCTGGGTTTAAAAATGCATTGTAATTACCGCGTTACTGACAATTGTACCGAGTAAATATTACCATTTTCTTTCCCTGTAATGCCTTACATTACCACATTACAGCAAAAAGCAACGCATTACAGTAATTAATTACTTTTGTACCGCGTTACTCCCAACACTGGAGCTAACTGAGCTAACGGAAGCTAACGGAGGTAGCTGGGTGCTTTTAGCCAGAAAACTGCGGATGTGCCTGAGGCCTTCCCAAGCGCAAGCAAGAGGGCAAGCGTTTAATGTTAGTGTTGATGGATCATCTGACACCTGTCAATCAAAATGACACGCCCCTTATTTTCTTAATTACATCCAAATGGAGGAGTTAAAAAATCCACCCCCCTCACTGTAAACTAGACCTTTTAGTCCTTAAATAGTTTCTTGAAACAGGCTGTAAACATGTTTATTTCTGCGATGAAGATGATATTTTTAACATGGAAGTCAATGGGAACTTGCTCCTTTCTGGAGCCAGCCCCTAGTGGATGAGAGGGGAACTACAGTTGTTGTCACTTCTGCGTTAGCTTCACGAGTTTCCCACTTGATACAAAACATGTTTGCACAAAATCCCTCTCGCATTAATGACAGTAACTTTCAGTACCTTTAATGAACCATTTTAGGGCTCTGTCTTAAGAAACAAGCTATAGCTGGCCACGTCCACCCATTCCTGATTGGCTGCTATGAGCCGATATCCAGGAGGGGCTTGGAGTAGTGGAGAAGTGAGAGGATTTATGTTTTTAATTTCCCTGATTGTGATGTCACAAATGGGACCTTTTTGAAACGGCTTGTTTTAGGCACTTGATTCCTAAAACCATACACTGACAGAAAACAGAAAAGTCACTCGTGCGCAAAGAAAATGTGCTAACTCTACAGAAAAACTGGGAATCGAACTGGGAATCAACTTTCTTCCCGCAAGACAGCAGTGCTACTAATTGCACCTCCATGCCTTCAGCTCTAGAAGATAATACAATAGCTGCATGCCGACTGCAATACTTAGATTTGTCACTAGAGGAAAGAAGGATTATATTCCGCTGGTTTTTGAGGAAAGCGCTAATCCTGCAGCTCTCTCTAAAAAAAACCTGGATAAAATATTTTGCATAATGTCAAATTCCTAAACATTCTCACCCATGTGGTTATTTCTATCACTGGAATTGAGAACATAATGGTAGGAAAAACTGAGACACACGCACAAAAACAGTTAGTTTAGATGAGTTTGATGCATGCTCCAGTGTTTCACCTACATACTGTACAAGACCTAATCCTCACCCATTTTTTCGGCCTGTGGGCAGTATAAGGTACACCTGTGCACTACTCATGATGTCGGATCAGCATCTTGATGTGGCACACCTGTGAGGTAGGAAAGCAGAAGTGCTCACTATCACACATTTAGACTGATTTGTAAACAATGTTTGAGAGAATGGTAATATTGTGTATCTGGAATGAAGTTTAGATCTTTAAGTTAATCTCGTGAAAAATCGGAGTAGAAACAAAGGTGTTGCATTTATATTTTTGTCGAGTGTATTTAATAGCCGATCGTTTATGTCTAGTGCAGTTCCTTGCTCAGCAGAGGGCTGCAGAGTGGTGTCAAATATGAAACTGATCAAGTTTCTAACTCAACAATCACTGAGATCAATGTTAACGCTCTGGCTTAAAGTTTAAAAATAATCTTAGCCTTAGCTGGGTCCTCCAGGAATGGTGCTAATTTCTTCCCTGCCTTCTGCCAAAAGTAAGTCATGCCATGTTTGACTTTAATGCAAATGAAATCATAGGTCTTTAAGAATTGTAAAGCCATCCAGTATTTATGGAACATTTCCTGAGCAAAAAGCTTAGAAGGGCATTCACGTGCATGGACGTAACTATCACTTTAGAAGTGGGGGGGGGGCACGGGGGGGGGGGGGGGGGGGGGGCTTTACAGTATGTTCTAATGTGAAACAGGCTTCAACACAAACGGTTGTTTTCTGCTTGGTCCTAGAGCTCAACCAGTGTCAATTTAATATAGCGTAATATTGTTTTTGGACGGTAAAAAGTGCAGGGGTCAAACCTTGACTTTGGAAAAAGTGGGGGACATGTCCCCCCCCCCCCCCCCCCCCAAAAAATTACGTCCATGTTCACGTGTGCTTATGAGGGCAAGGTGTTTTAATGGGGACAGCTGCGTAAATGCATAAATGCAGTCCAGTCTGTTTAGGGCACAAGTGGAAAACAGGAAGTGTAGGATTCTGGATAACTGAGTAAAGAATAAAAAAACTAAAAAACAGACTAAATACACTTGTCTCAAAGACTGTTCCTACATCAGTGAGCTCTGAGATACATGACCATGACCCAAAGAAGTTAGACCTTCATCTCCTGTGGTGCCTATCTAGTTAGCTTGGTTTTAGGTAACAGGCTGGTTTGGTGTACTTTCTTTATGTTTCTTTTCTCTCTCTTCAGTCGTTGAAGATTTGAAGTCAAGTTTTACCTGTTACCTGAACTGCTAACAGATACCCGGATGACTAAGAAAACCTCCACCAGCATATTTTCTTTACATTAGCGCCATCTAGCGGACAGCCCCCGTTTACTCGGAGGAAAAACGGCAGGAAGTGACGTCTTTCCCAATTTCCACCAATCATCAGCTCCGGCACTGAATTTAAACCGCGTTGAAATGAACTGTTTTCCTGTCTAAAATCTTCTGTGGTATAAAGCTTCAGGTAGGTATGAAACCACTTTTTCATGTATAATCTCGTGTCCTATTTAAAAATCTCGCGGTGCGTTGTCGACCCCGTAACGTTTACAAACTTTAGCCTGTTAGCTAGCGGCTATTAGCGTCGTTTGCTATCTCCGCAAAGATATGCGCAACCGAGCGCTTAAATAAAGGTCATAAATATCGCAAATCTGCACAGATTCTGAGCCATGCCTCGAGAGCCAGTCCAGAAGAAGTCCTTCCAGCAGGGCCTGGAGGATTTGAAGGAGAGGATGAAGGAGAAGAGGAATAAACGGCTGGCTAGAGCTGCTGCGCCGAGTATTGGACGGTCAAATTTAAACAAAAGCGGGGGTGAGTCGTTTAACGAAATATGAGTTTGATCTATAGGGAAAAAGCTCATTCATGTGCTGATAATACAAATAAAGTTTATATACAAAATTATTGGGTAACCAGGATCTCGGGAAGGGATGGGATTCGATCTCGAGGCTAATTATTTCCTCTTAAACTCTTCCAGGATCTGGCACGACACACACGATCCTGAAAAGTGTTCAGATGAACAACAAAGCGCTGGCCTTGGCCCTGCAGGCTGAGAAGCTGAAGGTGAGGCAGGCCAGCATGGTTATCCTGCAGCTGAAGAGGGATCAGCAGGCCATGCTCGCTCAACTGCTTCTGCTGAGGAAGAGAGTGGAAGAGCAGCAAGCTTTAGCAGCGGATGCCTCAGAGGTACACACACCAGAAGGACCTCTGATGATTCCTTAATCCTGGTGGATTATTTAGATCCTGATTTCTTTGTGTTGATCCAGGCTGACCCTGAAGACATGCTCGGGGAAACACAGATCCATCAGATGTCGCCATGGTATTTTATTAAGTATTTTTTTTATTATTAAGACATCTTTGAGAAAGTCATATCCTTCATTCTTTATCATTTTTTTCTGGCAATTTACAAAAGGAAACCCGTCGTCCATAAATCTGAGGAGAACATTGTGGGTGAACCTTCACCAGTTTGTGCAGGTATTTTATTTTGTTGCTGACGAGGATTTCTTTAACAATGTTTAAAGTTTGAAATGAGTCAGATGGCCAGAAAGGATTTAAGATGTTGCCAAGTTGTGAACCCAAATTTAAATGATTGTTTATTTTATAAACAGACCCTGAAAAGGACCAACAGTTTTGTGACAGAGTGGCTGCTTTGCCGTCAACTGTGACTGTGAGGCGTCGACACACAGACAGAACAACCAGGAGGACGTCTGAGAGACTCCGAGAACCGACTCCAATCACTGACGGAGATCCGGCTGGTGCTGTAAAACCAAATCCAGTTCATGGCGACAGTAAGAGTCAGAACCAAATGCTGGCAGAGCCAGAGGCGGCAGATCTCAGTGGCACAGTGGAAGTCCATCCCTCTCCCAAACCCGCTCCTCCCAGAAAAAAACCGCAGCAGTGCACCAGGAAACAGACCCAGCAGCAGGCTCGCTCCAGACCAGAACCAGCTTCACAGAAACCCGACCGAGGCCGCAAACCAGAGCGCTCCCAGTCAAAGAAACCGTGGGAGAATCCCAAACCCAGAGCCCGCTCAAAGAGCCGAGACCGCTCCGCAACACGGGCCAAAGCCTCAGCACCAGCACCGAAGCAGAGCAACAAGCTGAACACCACGCTGGGATGTAACGATACATTTGATTTTGACTGCGAAGAGACCATCCACGTCATGCCATTTAAGGCCAAAGCTGAGGACAGCCAGCCTGCTACACCTATAGGTGAAGAATCCCAAACTGAAGAAGATTCGGCAAGATCCGAACAGAACAAGAACAGCGCAACGTCATCCTCGGAGTCGGAAGACAGCCTTTATGTACCTAAGAAGACAAACAAGAGGTGGATTTCTCCTCAGAAGTCCACAGGAATCCCCACTCGTAGAGGTCGGTCCTCGCAGGTTATCAGGGAGAAGGGAAACGTTTCTCAAATTCAGAAGATTCCCAGTAGGTGGATTTGTTTTCTGCTCCGGGTTCTTACTTTTTTACGGCGTATTTATAACTTTCTGGTTAATGTTGTAGTTTACATGGATGAAGAGTCTGGCTCCAAAGGGGCGGAGTCTGGAGAAGACAAAGATCCTCGTCATTTCTCACCTGATTCTACGCACAACTCTGCGCGTTTGGACCAGGAAAATCCCCAACGTGAGTAAATGTCCGTTTTCATCTCTTTGTATTCATTTGCCTGACAGCATCAGCCGTCTTAACTTCCAGTGTGTCATGAACTAGGGAAGCACAGATACGATACCGGTATCGGCACCAATACAATACCAGTATCGGTAAAAGTTAATCGACACCAGGAACCGATACCAATGCGGTTGCTTGAAAATGGCTTCACTGTAACTTGTCATTTCTGTTCACTTAATATTTTAGTGTTGTGATGATTTCTATTCATATATTTTACTTTTTATCTACCTCAGTCTTTTCCTGTTGAAGAAAATAAAATCTGTATTCTAGATCATTGCATTTTTTTTTTTTTTTTTGTGGTAGAAGTATCGGTATTGGTAATCGGTATCGGCGAGTACTCAGATCCATGTGGTATCGTTGCATCCCTATCATGAACCCTCCAAAGACATTGGTCCATGTTTTTATTTTGTTTGTTGTTTTGGAAGGTCACGGTGGACAGGTGGCGGGCGATTTGCTTCCTGTCAGCCCTCTGGTTGAGGCTGAGATGAGAATGGATGGGGTCCTGTCCGGTTTGGGAGAGAACCCGTGTGAGGATATTTTATCCAGCCAAACACCACAGAAGGTCAAAACGGGCAGGAAACGTACGTCTTTACGATTCCTTTGCTTTTTTTCTTCTTCTGTGCTTTTGTCAGTAAACGGATGGGATGGTCCATCTCTATAGTGCGTGTGTAACACTGCTTCATGTCTTTCCTCACGTCTCTGCAGGTGGGGTTGGTGGAAGGAAAGGAGGGCAGGGCTTCAGCCTGTGTGATGTCACAAATATGTCTCCCACAGCCTACCTCGACTTCCCCTGCGGCGGAGAGCGACTCTCTGCTCGATGCTCCACCCCGGTTTCTGATCACAAGCGGCGCCGCACCACGCTGAACTATAAGGAGCCTTCCTTAAACGGGTACGTTCACACTTTAAAAGCCCATTTTGCTTAAACTATGCACACGTTTAACGTTTCTGCTCGTCCCAACAGAAAACTTCGCCGTGGCGACAAGTTCACAGACCTGCAGTTCCTCTGCTCTCCCATTTTCAAACAGAAGTCCAGTCGGAATGCTGTGCAGAAGTCGAATTCTCGGAGCAGCCAGCGGTCGTTTCAGAAATATAACGAGTCTTTAGTTGGATGTGGCTGAAGGTATTTTTTATTAGTCTTAATGAACATGTTTTAGATTTACCTGAGTGGTTCCTTCAGGCACCTGTAGCCACTTTTAAGATCCGTTCTCTTGTGTTCTGATGGAGATTCCTGACGTAGTAAGCTATTTTTTATTATATTTGCACTGCATTTCAAAATGCAGACTGTGCACATGTATTTTTCTGTATGAAAGATTAAACTTGTGTTTTTAGAGCTGGGCGACCTTTTATGAGTGGAGTTAAAGTCAACAAACACCAGTTTAGCCTCACGCTTCTTTTATTCGGTCTATAAAATCAGCTAATGTCCGTAAAACCAGTCGTACAAAGATCATGAAATCATCTCTTCAGACATTTTACAAAAGGTCGCTTTTCCTAAAGTTCGGAAAGTACAAACACCTCTTTACAAAACAGCAAAACCACATCGTATTGCACAATCTTTTCATTTATCTCCAAAGTATAAAGTTCTCAATCTCCGTCCGCTGGACTAAAATAAGATAATAAATTAAGACTTCTTGTCCTAAATTCTGACTTAAAAGCACATAAATAAGAATAAACTCCAGATAATTTAATTCTTACTTGACAGTGTATTTTTTCTAATAAGAAAAGAGGCTACACTTTACCTAATACTTAATTTTTTTTAAAATAAAAGTGCATTTGGATAGTCGGGACTGCCTTTTGAGGCCTAATGGAAAAAATACTCTGAAATCAAAATTGGTAGATATTGTAGAGCGGCATAAGTGCTTCAAAATGATTAAATTACGTACAAATTTAAAACTGCATTCCTCTTTTGGCAGGAAGAACTCACCAGACGCACGCTAACCTGGTTAGCGCTGAACATGCTCACAGAAACAGAATTAAACGGCAAAAGTCTTTTTTTTTTCTGACAGGTAAAACTTGCAGACATATTTGGCTCCATTGTGTGGCGTCTCTAGTGGAGTTCAGAGGTCAACGCTGAATAAAGAGGCAGAATGAAAATAAAGGCAATAAAGTAAAATCTGGGACTCGTTATGATTGTGAAGCCTTTCAGCGTCTAATACAAAAATAAGCTGTTTCACTGCTTATGTTAACCTTTCACCTTTACTTCAGCCTTTCTGATGTGAGAGTCCATCCACTCCCCAACGGGGATTCCTGTTTTTATTTGACTTCCCTCTAACTAAACTTTCACCGGTCCTGCTCGGGAAACCCTCTCGTCCTCTACTTCTCGATAAGTCCCGCCTCTTTGATCTTGGTGTAGAAGAACTTCTCCAGGATGTTGGCACACTTGTAGTACTCGCTCTCCGGTGGATTGTACTCACGACAGTTGGTGACGATCCGCTGCATGTCGGCCATGAACAGCTTGCGCGTTGTGTAGTACCTGCTCTTCAGACGTTCGCTCATCGTCTTTAAGTCTGAGGACAAAAAAAAATACACTTCTATAGTAAACAAATTTATTTTTATGACCCAAACAAGTTCATACTGTCTTTAGTCTGTTTAACCCTTTATTTTGGTCACTACAGTGGACAGGTACTCAAAATTGTTATTTATTTATTTTTGCTATTAAGCACAGCTGTTGAAGACAGGGTATCCGCGGGTCCTTAAAAAGTCTTAAATTTGCTTTTCCAAATTTAAGACCTTAAAAATGACAAATAATCCTTAAATACAGTTTCCAAAGGTCTTAAATTACCAAAGATGCAATAAACTAGATTCTTTTATTTCTATTAAAATTTTGCGAATTCCTAGTTCAGCATTTTTTGTGTATGACGTTGGCGTAAGCGGAACCGTACACATTCAGCTGGTTGTGAAAGGGGGCTATTTTTAGATGAGCACATTAGCTGGTTAAGCTAGTGGGAGCTTGTGCCATGGGGAAGCGCAAGTTTAATGGTGACTGGATGGCTATTCCCACCTTTGCGACGTGGTTAGCATCGGTTCCAGGCAATAGCTGGAAATTATAGCTTAAATTTAATTTTTTAAAAATTGCTTAAATTTGGTCAAAGTGGCCTTAAAAAAGGTCTTAAAAAGTCTTAAATTTGGTTCCCTTAAACCTGCAGATACCCTGTGAAGACTTTATTGCATTTGAGCCCCTCTATTTGGACTTCAGTAAGACAAGCCAACATATTTCATGTTCAGAATGCACGCTGTCCACTGAGATGGACATGTAATAACTTATTTGTAAATTAAAAAAATGTTACAAAAATATTAGTTGAAATTTTTTTCATTCACACCTAAAGATGAATGAAAAAAATTGTTTAAAAAATCATGGTTGAAGATTTCATAATTCATGCATCAAAGGGTTAAGACGTGGATTGAGGCATTAGTATTGCATCAAAAATTGATTATGAATTCATCAATATAGGAAAATGATGCAATTAAAACTAAAAGGATACAAACTCAGGCTTAAAAACAAAACAAACAATCTTGTCATCCAAGTAAAGCGCATCCAGTGAAAAGTCTAAACATAAGACCACAAATGTGCCGATAAAAATAATCACAGATGCAATCGTGTGGTGGTGTGTGGCCACTTCGCAAAACTTCTTCAGATCAAACATTTCTTAAAACCAGGAGCATGCTTTTATGATCTTGCTTTCTTGTTTCGCTACACGACACATTCGACAGTCACCAATTTCGTTTGTCCTCTAGATCGAGGCAAGACAATTTTTGGCCCAATCCCCAAACTGCGCCCTACGGTCTTCTGTGAAGTGCACTTGCAGGAAGTTTGAGTGGGTGGGGCACAAGTGTGCAAATAATAGCCGAATTGGGACACGGAGCATTGCATCGATCGCAACGCGTTCCGGGACGCCAGTCGCTGTGCAACTTAAAAAAATAAACTAACAACTTTCACACAGCCTAACAATTATTTTAAAAGAATTTACATTCATAGCTGCTTTCTCTAAAACACTCAGAGCATCAATTAATCATCCTAAAATTAACAACTTTCATTTGAAAATACACATTTTCAGAAAAGGCACTTGAGCTTTTTCTCCCACAGCAATGGATTGTGGGTAATACTCTTTGCTTTGCCCAGTGTGGATTATGGGTGCAAAAGGGGTGAGATCAACTTCTGCACTTAAGAATCGGGACACCCTAGGCACTCGCACCCTTGGCCGGGATTGCGCAAGTGCAGTAGTGCGAGTATTGGGATGTATGGGTGTAGCGGTAAATCCCGGTAAAAAAAGTTGGCAATAATAAGTCTTGTTTTTAAAAAAATAGTTCATCTTGGTGGATTACCGTGGCTGCAGTGTAGGCGCGGTGACCCTTACCAGCCACCGTATCATCTGCTGAAGTTGCCGGCGGCACATGCGCACTTAGTTGTTTACGGCTAAAGCTGAAATAATGGCCAAAGGAGGAGACGGAAGCGCTCAGGAGAACATTTATTATCCCTCAAAGAAGACAAAGTGGGAAGTACGGGCATCTTTTGGATATTTGAAGAATGCCGAGGGACAGTTGATAGAAGACGGCTATCCTGTTTGCAGCACGTGCGGAAAAAGTGTCTGTGAAAGGCAGCAACGCTTCAAATCTCATGACACATCTGCGTGACCATCACCCACAACTCTACAGTCAACGCAAGGCAAGCTAACGTTAGCATTTTAGCTAAAATGCGTGATCCGAGGATTTGGGTTGAGGGAGAATGCAACGAGTCGCTATATAAAGCAGCCGCAGCGCCGCTACCTGCATATAAACCGTGTCGCGGACACCCCCATGTTGAAATGACGCTATGCATTACGGGGCTCCCAGGGACAGATAAGAGTTGGTCTCTCTCCGAGAATAATTGTGAATTTAACAACGATTACTGCCTGATGACATTTTCCCACATCTGCAAAGCTCACTGGAAGGACACAAACCGAGGACAATATTTTCCTGATATAGGGTTTATTACTCAAGTAAGGGTAAAAAAGTATCTGATTAGAAGGCTACTTGAGTACTGCGTACCATCTGATCTAATACTTTTAAAATGACATCAACAGGGGCGGTTCTAGACCAAATTTTCCAGGGGGGCCACAGTGGGGTCAGTATTTTTTCATGGGGGCACAAGAAAAAAAAATCATAATAAAAAGACAATGAACAAGTAAACTATTACGGCAAATGTAGTAATGGTCTACTTGTGAAAGTAAAACTGGCATGTTTTTATGGTACTCAGATAACAATTCTGAATGCTTCACAGTAACATGAGACTTGAGTAAAAAATAATTCTAGTTTTATTATTATAGTTTGTGACTTTATTTGAAGATTATATGAACTACATATGAAAAATAAACATTCAAACAAATAAAATATCTGCACAATACAATTTGCTTTTTGTAGTCCACACACACACACACACACACGTAAGCAAAATCACTTCACCAATTGTTTTGATATACTCATGATTTTCTTTAACCTTTTACAGTGTTCCTTGTCGAGTATATTAGCCAATGTTGTATTAGCTTTCACAGCCCTCTGGTAGTCCCTCCACGCTATCATTGAATCTTTATGCCTTTCAGACTTTGCATGTACTGAAAACCCCCTCCTCTCTCAGTTGCTTTTTTCCAGTTCCTAAATCCACATGGTGAGTCAAACACACTTCCTGCGCTACTTGGTGAGCTAAAATGTCTGCATGCATGACAATAGGTAGAGTCCATAGTAACAGAATATTCAACCCAAGGATGACTTTCATACCAGCTTGGCTGAAAGCTGCGTCTTCTGTCTCCTATTAATGTCACTGGAAATGTCCTCAAATGATGCTGAGTAGGTGGGTCATCCTTGCACTTGCTGATATCTGAAAGAAAATAAATGTTAGCATGAGGATAAAAGTCATAATAAGTTAATTCAAAGTCTTATTTTATCTATTTATTAAATATAAACATAAATTTTGGTCCAGAGTCAGCATGCCTCAAATGCAGTTTACACACAATATGAGCTGCAATCACAGAGGGGTTGTTCAACACCCACAAACCTGACGGTAGTGTACACAGTGCACATGACAGAAGATGTCCCTCTTTTTGCTCCTCACTCTCTCCCTCACAGCCTACATCTTCCTCCTCACTCTCAGGGTGGACAGTCTGACCTCTCTGGTTCCTCTCCAACCAACTCCTCCTTCTCTCTTTCATCCTGCTTCTCAGCTCCCTCGTGACTTTCATCCTCTCTCTGTCTACGCTGTTCTTTATTAACAGCGGTAAAAAAGGACAAAATGACCCTTTTTCTTTTCAATGCCGCTGATGCTTCCAGTCAGTGCTGCGAGAAAGTCATAGATAAATGAATACTGTGATCTAATCTCAACGTGTCTAAGGCTTAAAATGCAGCAACTTCATGTTTATTTTACAGTTAATGTTACAAAGGAAAAACTAATCAGTGTTAACTGTGGATAGACTCAGTTAGGAACTTAAAAGTAAATGACAGAAACGCGCGACTAGATCAAAACACTGATGTCAGGAAAATAAACTGTATTGCTTACCTTCGTCTCTTAGCGTCTTTTCCGTTAGTCGTGCTCAAGAACTTCTTCGGGTCCCATTTAAACTATTTTTAATCTTGTATTCAAAAATCCACCGGGTAAACAGTTCTGTCCACAGAGTGTGCTGCGCTTTAAAGGCTCCGTGTGAAACGCTGCAGCGCATTATAAAGGTTGTTCCCGTCTCCGAGGCGGCGCGGAAAAAAAAAAATTCCGATCTCTTCAGCACAGGGGCCAGGGCCGGTTCTACAGGGGCCCATGCCCCTGTGGGCCCCCGTTTAAAACCGCCATTGGACATCAACCAGACAAAAAATAAGAAGTTATGGGCAAATATTAGTATTTTAAAGACTAAAGGGGAAAAATGTAAACAAATAAACAACATAATTACAAAATAACAAATTTTAGGCAAAATTTAGACACAAACTGAGGACAATATTTTCCTGATATACAGGGTTTATGTAGTTGTCTGAAAATGTAACACGTTTTAAAAAATACCGCGATAATACCGAAAACCGTGATAATTTTGGTCACAATAACCGTGAGGTTAAATTTTCACACCGTGACAACCCTAGACCTGACGTGCATCCAAACAAACCAGAGCACACTTATTACACAACACACGGCAGGATTATCTGATAAGATTGTCTTTAGAGCTGTAGACCCTCTGGTCATAAATCGAGATCACAAGAGTAAAGGTCTGAATACATACTAACTTGTATTGCTGTTTTTAAGAAGTTTGGCTTATCGTCTCCATCCGGTACTTACCCATGGGAAAGCGAATGACCTGGTAGTAACCAGGTGCCTCTGTTTTCTTCACAGGCTCCATGAAAGGCCAGGCGTTCTGGTGACTCTAAAATAAAGCTTGTGTGAGTTTGTGAGTGTTTATTTCAGACACAGCAGCTGACGAAAGGTCTGTTCCGTTACCTTCACATGCTGGAGGATGTTTTTTAGAGTGCTGTACAGCTGGTCCGGATCCTTCAATTCCTTCCTACAAGAAAAAACAACTCGGTTTGAGTTAAATCAAGGATATGAATAAACACATAAATGCTTCTAATGGAATCTTCTCTCACCCTTTTCCTGCTGGTTTCCAGCCCGTCTCACCTGTAAATACAATCAAATGAAGTTACATTCAACCTAAACGTAGACAAATAGTTATTCTGTCCTGGGTTCTGCGGAGGGTTACGTACGTATGCCAGGAATGCTCTCGATGGGAATCTGCCGGACTCCGTCCTTAAAACAGGACAGGCCTGGGTAGACTTTTCGGATCTGAGCCTGCTTCCTTTCTATGAGCTTCTTGATGATCTGAAGGCAGAGGACGAATAAGAGAAATGGTGCGATGGCCGAAAGAAGCATGAATGATTGGATAAAAAAAAATCACCAGCGTACTTCCTTCTGCTTCTTGATGATAACGGAGAACTCTGTGTATGGGATGCTGGGGTTGAGCTCACAGCCCATGAGTGTGGCTCCCTCATAGTCTTTGATGTAGCCAACGTACTTGGCCTTGGGAACTTTGATGTCCTTTGAGAACCCCTGAGAGGAACGAGGAGAAGGTGGTTTTAGTTTCACTGTGGCCTAGAGCACCGCCAACATCCTGCATGACTCATTCCGTTACCTGTTTCTTGAAGTAACCAATGGCGTACTCGTCAGCATACGTAAGGAAGTTGAGTATTTCATGCTTTATGTGATACTCCTTCAGGTGGTTCATCAGATGGGTGCCATAGCCCTTGGAGTGAAACAGCTAAATGTCAGACACTGGCTGTGAAAGAGAATGGCCTTTTTCCACTAGTCCCTGCTGCGTAACTCGACTACGAACAACTCTAGTCTACACGGTGTGGGTGGTTTTCCATGGGACTAACATCCTGCCTTTAATCAAGAATGTATTTAGTCGATTTGAGAGCCTTAATAGATTTTTTTCATCTCCTATCTAGTACTGGGGTGTTTCTCAATGCCAAGGAACCTCGCCTTGATGTCTTAGCCCCACCCCGGTTGCCTAGGAGATACGTCATCGGGAGCCGCCAAGACGTGTTCCAATGTTCATGTTCTACCGAGGCGTGCATTCTCCGTTTGTTAGCCGTTTAGCTAGCTGAGCAAGGATACACGGGAGGTGTCTTGTAGCCTAGCCTTGGTCAAAAATTACCCACAATACACCGCAGTATTTTCAAAAGGACTGTGGATCAGAAGCCGGCAGCTACTTCGGGGACAATTTTCAAGTTTAAAAGTAAGACAACAAAATGTTTTTTTTTTTAGATCCAAAGAAGTTATCTATGGTTGTTAGTTGCTTAGTAGTTGCAGATTCGGTGGCTAACGGGTAGTAACTCGCTTATATATTTAATTAAACAAATATACACAATTTAAAAAGTAAAAGGCTCGTTATATATTTATATTGAAACTAATACGTATAAAATATAACGTTATCTCCTGTGTCACGGGATGTTACGTGACCGCTGTGGAAGCCGCGGTCACGTGATGCAAGTCTGTTCCATTTTAACCGTTTTCTTTGACCAAGGAAGGACCGTGTCCTCGTAAGCAAGGCGCCTGGCCTCACAAGGCCAGGTGCCTTGACACTGAAACACCCATGGTCGCTCTCAAAACATCCCTTCTTGTGTTTATATGTGTTTGACTTGCTCTCAAATGGACTCTTCTCCTCTTTAACCCATAAATGTTCAGCTCCTTCCGTCTGTGCTCCTAAAACCCGCTCGCAGATTTTTTTCTGACCTCTTGGATCGACGCTTGATTCTGGCAAACGTCCTCCTGAATGAGAATTCAGATATGATGCTGGTCAACAAGCTTGTCCCTGAAGACTCCTGCTGGCCCTGCACACTCCAAACCCATGTATTTTCTTCCACTGTCAATGGTGGGTGCACCAACTGAGTATGTTGATGAAAGGAGCATACCCAGAAGATCATTGGTCAGCATTTAATCTGACTTTCTATTGTCCCAAATCATCTCGTTTCAACCCAAGAGCACAGGAAGGTTGTACTCCATCTGTGGCTTTTTGTCAGACTCCAGAAAGACCTTGAATAGGCAGCAGAAAGAGATGGGAAACACTCTGGAGCAACCGGTGACTCCACCCCCTAACCACGGACGTTCGCCGAACCGAGCAGGTGCAAACCAGGAACAGAAACAAAGCTGCTCACCTTGACCTGCTCGTTGGAGGTGACGGCACAAAAGACGATCTCCGTGAAGCCCTGCGACGGAAACATCCGGAAGCAGATTCCTCCGATGACTCGACCGTCTTTGATCAACGACAGCGTCTTGTGCTTCCTGCAGGAAAACAAGACGGGTCTACTCACCATGCCTTTTCTACATCTCTGGACACGAATGAAGTTGGGGAAACTCACGGGTCGAACACCAGCCGTGTGATGTACTCCTTGGGCATGCGGGGAAGCTGGTGGGAGAAGACGTTCTGAAGGCCGACTAGCCACATCAAGATCCTCTTGTTGGGTTTCTGACTGAGAGAGTTCCCAATGACGTGGAATTCGATCACCCCTCTCCTCTCCTCAAGGCGTGCAGCTTCGTCCCGTGCAGAATGAGCAGACAGAAGGCTGGTCTGGGCAGTAAAGAGGTGGAGGAGGCGTGAGCTACTTTCTACAACAAGGAGTTTCTGGCTTCACATCGACAGGTTACCTCTGGAATAGCGACGGGGTCGGTGATGGTCGCCATGACTTCGTTAATGAGGTCCATCGGGATGTCCCCGAGAATCCTGGGTCTCTTGTTTTCTTCGTGGTGAAGTGGTTCTGATGCTTTACGCTTTTCTCCAACTTTAAACACAATTTAATCTTCAAAATCATCATTCGCCTCTTTTATAATCGCTCACGATAAAATAGACATGAAGTTTTATCGGATCACGGTGCAATCACAGTTTTAATACCTGGGTTTGACTCCAGAGCCGAGGCGGGTTTCCTGGCAGGACTGACGCTACCACAGGTGGACGGGTCCACCGACACAGGACTGGTGCTGTAGTGTATTGGCCTGACTACTGGGGGAGCACTGATCACTACACGGGGAATTTTAAACAAAAGTTTTTTTTACAAAGCGAAGAAAAATTCCAACTTGCGTACAGGTGTGTGTGTGTGAGGGTGTGTTTTACCTGTGTGGATGGGAATCTGTCCTCCTGCAGCTCCTACAAGGAAGTCTTGGCTCCAGATCGGGGAGCTGTGGCTGTAGACCTCCTCCTCCAGCATCGACAAGAACCTGAGCAAAGAAAACCACGTTTTTTTTAAGTGCTGTGCTTTTAAAATGTTGAGTTTGTGTCATTTCTCTGTGTGAACACGTGTGTGCGTGTGTCGTACTTGGGAAAGTGTGTGAGAATGAGTGTGCGTTTCTCTGGTGGGAGCTTGTCCTTCTCCTGTCTGGCCTGCTCCAGCAGCTGCTTCCTCATCACGGTGAACACGGAGCGTAATAGCGTCCTGCCAAAGATCTGGGTGGTTTCGTAGCGGGGCAGGCTGTCGCAGAACTGAGGCGCGTTGCAGTAACACAACCATCTACACACAGAAATGGTTTACATAAAACTACGAGAGAATCCAGGAAAGCAGGTCAAAGGGAACTCTGCTCAGTCCCACCGTGTGTAGTTAGCTTTATATCCTGCTGCATCGTCATTGGGCACCCGCTGGCGTCTCTGAGAGGGCGTCTCCAGCTGCCAGTAGTTGATCTGGTTCAGAAACATCTTAGCCAGCTCCATGATGGTTTGACGTTCTTTTGATGGCAGATGGCTGAATTTGTACTGGACAAAATTGTTCACTCCCTTTTAGGTACACAAGCAGAAATAAAGAGAAAAATCAGTCGGCGTCAATGAAAATGTGTTTTTCCTTCCAAACTCTTACTTCACCTGCTCGATGCTGGGCTTTTCAAACGGAGGAGTCTCCTGTGCCTCCAACATGGGCTTCCCCATCTGTAGGATGGACTTCCTCAACAGCTAAAAGGTCAAATGGAAATTAGTAGCTTACTTGATCACAATGCAGAGGTTATACGTGATAAAATATTAACAATAAAGCTGGAAATTACTTTAAAGAGGGAAAAGTAGACTTGTTTAGTGTCTGCGTCCTCTTCTTTGTGGACACATGTGTACAAATACTCCACATCCAGGACAATTCCTAGAAGTCTGTTCATTTCCTCCTCAGAAACATGTTCAAGATGAGTCACATGATCACCTGGGGAAAATAAAGATATTATAAATCTGAGTGATACCTAACTTTTACCAAGAGGGGTTGTTGGGTTCGACAAGCACACAAACCCAAAGTGTGCGAGCAGCTCCGGCAGGGCTCCTGCAGGTTGACCGTGTTGGTCTGCTGGTCCGTTTGAGGAGGTGTAGGAGGGGGGTTCTGACTCTTCCAGCCATTACACTTGCACGGTCCTTCGGCCTGTCGGAACAGAGTGAAAATAAACAAACAAAACAGCTAAAATCACCACGGTCAGCTGAAATCCAACGTTTTTCCTGGTCTTTGAACGCATCATCTTTGAATAATATGTTACATGTGAAAATGTTTTAATTTCCGAATCATCTTAAAGTTAATCAGAATTTTAAACAATTAGAATGTGATGAATTAGGTATTTGGGCATCTGAATCAGTAGAAATAAGTTAAAACTGAAGACAATAAAAAACACCCTCAGTTTTTGGCTTAATTAGTCGGACTAGCTCAAACCCAAAAGGAGCCTTGTTTCCTAGAAAAACAAACAAAGTAGGGGGGGGCCTGTCACTGCTGCGCATGCGCACTGAAACAATAACAAACTCCGCCCCCTCCAGCAGCTGTCATCCTGTCAAAACAAAGACACCGACCCTCTGCGGATCGTACGCCGCACAAGCCCCATAAATGCCTCCGTAGGCTCACCGCCGAGCTCCAGCAGAAGGTCTGGAGGCTGTGGGACCTTCTGGTGAGGGTAGGAGACACACGCGCACGAGCTCGGCTCCTGTTCCCACAGCCAGCGACTCCCGAGCCGCTCCGAGCCAATGTTTACGTTCACCAACCACCCACCTTGACAGAAACAGCACCACTAAAAATACCAGAGAGCGTCCAGCAAAAAGGCCCCGGCCGAAGAGTTCGGCTGCTAGAAATACACGTTATCCTAAACATCTTCGTTTATTTTTTTCAGAAAACTGTGCCGTTCATGCAATTATTTTTTTTAAAAAGGGGTAAAAAACTGAAGTGCGGCAATGGCTTCCTTTGCTGCGCTGCATTATGAAAACTTGCAACCAAAACCAACCGTTAATTTGGATTAAACACACAAAACGCGTATTTTCACAGTTCCCCGCGTGCAAATCACGCCTACTTTGCAAGACGAATACACTCCGAGTTTTTCCAGTTTCTTCGGCCGAGGTGACGAGTGGAGTTGCGCCTTCTTCGCTGCGATACGTGCGGATCCTCCAGCGGCGCCGGAGCCCTCCGTGCCCCCGGCTCCAGGAGCCGCCGGAACCAGGCCCGCGGCTCCAATGGCCGGCGAACCTTGCTGAATCCCCGCGGTGTCGGCCATGATTCACCCCGAAACCCGCAGCGAGCGCAGGCCCGGGAAACGATGGCTCCGCCGTCCGCGCTATTCCACAAGCGGAGGATCAGACATGGCGCTCATCCTTATATTCAATTTCTCACAGCGGTGCCATTTTCCTCCGCTAGGGGCGCCCACGGGACCACAACTGAGTGGAGAGGTCACAAAATCCAGCCAATTGGAGCCAAAATTCAAGGTCAAATCTAGAGAAAATCATGTTGACTGGAGCCTTTTTAAAGTTATACTATAAAACTACCAACTATCAACAATTTTACATGGGAACAGTAAACGTATTGCACCATAAAATAACAAATCAGCAGCATAATCCTCCTACATCACAAAATATCCTTAAAGAAGAGAAAAAATACCAAAAACACACAGACTGCCAGATTACAATGATGAATGCTCAAATTTATTTCAGTATTTATTTGGTCATTACATAATAGTTCTGTAAAATGCTTCAGTTTAAATGTCTTCCTGCAAAGAAGTCTTAAAACCAAAAGTGATCCAAGTCACAGATGTTCTGTTGTTCCTGTAACGCTGTTAACAGATTTTTAAACAGACCAATATGTAGATTTTTAAATCAGTTTATATCTCCTAAAACCCGGGAGGAGGACATTTTAGACACGAGGCATTAAAAATAAAAAGGAGGATGAAACCAGGAAGTTTGGGCGTAACAGATTTCTTTTTGAGAAAATGAGGCAGACATCTAAATAAATGCAATGTTTTTTTTGTTAATATTACTACACATATTTATAAAGACCACCACGGATTATGACTTAACCATTTGTGTGTTGGGGGGAAAACTCCAAACCCAGATTGTTGCTGTTTTCCTGCTAACTGTACATGGTTTTTAACCTTCTATTGATTATCCCTAGCAAGCATTAGTCCCGTCACTGGGAAAACAAAAATAAAAAGGTAGACTACACTGCAACACCGTATTTACAGTATATTATTTATATATTTATATTATGTATATATTTATAACACACTGACTGAGATTATAACATAAATTCATGAGCATTATTAGTGCAAGGCATGAGAACGATAGAAAAAGGTTTGGACTAAAGTGTTTTTGCTCTCTCTCTCTCTCTCTCTCTCTCTCTCTGTGTGTGTGTGTGTGTGTGTGTGTGTGTGTGTGTGTGTTAGAGAGAACATGACAAACACATTAAGTGTGGCTAACGTGTAACAGTATATTCTTCAGCTGACCTACAGTGATGCAGAAGTTTGGACAGGAAAAAAATCAAAAGTTTGAAAGGAAGAAGTCATGTGTTTCATTGTGCAAATGTGTACACACACACACACACACGCACACACGCACGCACGCACGCACGCACGCACGCACGCACGCACGCACGCACGCACACACACACAGTTAGAACAGTTGTGTCTAAAGCACTTTCTAAATAAAAGGACGAGTCACTCTCACCCCACATTCTGTGCAAAACTACCCGCAGCCGCCCGGCAACACCGACCCGATGGAGAGGACGGCTGCGGAAGTCATCCAACGCCAGAAAAAAAGAATCCAGGTTGGATCAGAATGGGACGGTTTACGGAAGGACTCGTGGACGGTCACCACCGATGTGAGACGGGACGTTGTTCTCTGCAGATACTCAAACTAGCGAGTAATACTGCAGAACATTGCACAATTACACTTTAGACAATTACGAGCAGGCACAGCCCCAGAACGAAACCTACAGACGGGAGGAGCAAACTGCGCTAACCTTTAACAGGAAGTGAGGACATTAAGAGGGAATGCAGAAATTCCAAAAGACTTCATTTCCCCTAACGGACGTTTTGTGCTACTGCAAACCAACCTTAAAGTTTTTTATTTTTATTTTAGCCCACTTAAATATACAAGGAAATGTGTCCAGAACAGAATCCTAGCAAACAATATTAATCCAAAAGAAGCAGTAGTAAAGTCTCCAGGGGGAGGAAGTGAAACTCGGATTTACACGCTGGAGCGAAGGTGGACCTGTCGTTTCTGCCACCACGGATATGAATGTGTCAGGGAGTAAGACAGAGTGGTTGGGAGGCTTCACCTGGTGGCAGCAGAACCGCAACAGAAGACAAGAGGCAGAACTACGAAGGAACGCCAGTGGCGCTGGTCCGCCACTGCAAGAAAACGGAGAGAATGGGAACGGCGGGCATCTTCCCGCTTTTAACGATGAGTGACACGTTGCATTAGTAGCTGCAGTGGCACCTGGGGCATGGACCACATTAGTTACTGGTCTACAGGTCAGAGAAAGGTGTGTTCTTCGTGTTAGTTGGAGCAGCACGGGGCTTTGGCCGGCTGGGCGGGTTCCGTCAGGTCCACTCCTCGGCTTCGCGCGGCGGTGGCTCCTGGAGCTTGGGGCTCACTTTTTGGCAATCTCTTTGCTAGAAGGAGAAACACATGCAATATTAGTATAAACAGCTAGATTTAATTTTTAGTGATTGAATTTGAAAAGGCCCGTTTCCACTATCGGAACTTGTAGGAAACTTTACCGGATCTTTACGGAATGTGCATGCCTCTATTTCACCGAAGCAAACTCAAAAGACCCCTTTCCGGGCCATATCAGGCACCAAACGAGTACCCGAACTGAGGTATGTACTCGTAAAGGCCCAGTAGAGTCGCTGGGCGTGGCTTGTGGTTAACTCATGCTGATTGGTGGTAACTCAGTGGGAAATTATATTAGTAGGCGTCGCCAAACAACTATACCGAATGGAAGGAAAAGAAACTAAGCAGCGCTGATGCTGAACTTTAAACACCAAAAAAAACACCAAGAATCCTCGAACAATGCTGTAGTTTACGCTACTCTGTGGTCTCCAATGGTGGGTAGTAAAAAAAAAAAACTTTCATTTTGGACACTGAACGCCGCTTTTTACTCGACACATTCCCGCTCTTAACGCATCCCCTAAACGGCATTAAATATGTCGTACAATGACCGAATAAAACGTCTTTAATGTTGTGTGGTTGTGACGCTCATTGCCAAAATGGTCGCGATATGCTAACGTCTTAGCAAAGTCCTGAAAGGGCCCATATTGTGAGGAGACACATTTACAAAGTACATCAGTAGAACTATCGCCTTATACCGACTTATGTCGTTTTAGTCTGGCTGAAAACAAACTAATTGTAATTCATCTAAAGTACATCAGTAATGCGGTAGGAGTCCGGATTCTTCTGCGTGTAACGGCTCGGTTGAGCTGGTACCGTTTGGACACATGAGGCAGTGTTAGCAGTCTTCTGAGGACATCACCACAAAGCAACGCGTGAAGCACCATCAAACAGTACGTCTGTTTCACTCCCCGGTTGTGTTTCTGTAAGCTAACTGGAAGAACGCTGACAGGAAAGGGCGCCACCTACTGTAGCGGAGTGGAACGCACTTGGTTTCAGACTTTGGTTTTCTAACGTTAAAGTAAACTAGGATAAATGCTCCTAGTTTATTGACCTAAATTGACTTTAATGTCCTTCCCAGAAAACCTGCCACAGTGGCAAAGGTCAGGCTCACGGAACCAATCAAAAGAACCCAAATGATCAAACGAGCAGTAATCTATAAGATATAGAGAATCCAATAATAACCTACCAATAGCCATAAATATCTCGTTGACGTTCATAGACGTTTTGGCTGACGTCTCCATGAATAGTAGGCTGTTGTCATCTGCGTAGGACTGAGCATCCTGTCGACACAAGGGAAACAGCGTGAACATGGCTGTAGAACATCACCAGACAATTTGTTTAATGAAATAAATAATCGACGAATAGGAAATCAGCCATTTTTTCATGCCAGCGTTTAAAACTAGGATCTTAAGTAGAGGAATGACGGCGATATGGTCCCACATCACAAAGTGTGAAGTGTGTGATGACGATGACTCTCAGCTAACACCACATCCGTCCGTCCGTCCGGAGTCGGGTCGCGGGGGCAGTAGCCTGAGGCGAGAGGCCCAGACTTCCCTCTCCCCAGCCACTTGGGCCAGCTAGTCCGGGGGAATCCCAAGGCGTTCCCTGGCCAGGTGAGAGACATATCCACCATGTCCTGGGTCTACCTTTAGGTGTCCTCCCGGTTGGACGTGCCCGAAAACCTCACAAGGAGGCGTCCAGGAGGCATCCTGACCAGAAGCCCGAGCCACCTCAACTGGCTCCTCTCGATGTGGAGGAGCAGCGGGTCTACTCCGTGACCCTCCCGAATGGCCGAGCTTCTCGCCCTATCTCTAAGGGAGAGCCCAGCCACTCTTCGGAGAAAACTCATTTTGGCCGCTTGTATCCGCAATCTCGTTCTTTCGGTCACTACCCAAAGCTCATGACCATAAGTGAGGGTAGGAACGTAGATCGACCGGTAAATTGAGAGCTTTCACTTCTGATTCAGCTCTCTCTTCACAACGACAGACCGGTACAACGCCCACATCACTGCAGATGCAGCACCAACCTGCCTATCGATCTCACGCTCCAGTTTTCCCTCACTCGTGAACAAGACCCCAAGATACATAAACTCCTCCACTTGGGGCAAGACCTCATCCCCGACCCGGAGAAGGCATTGTACCGTTTTCCGAATGAAGACCATGGTCTAGGGCTGGGCAATAAATCGAAAATGTATCGTTATCTAAATGTCAAACTCTTATTGAGATAATTTTCCCATGTCAATAAATTTGATAATTAAAAAATTAAAAGATGTGTGTAGGTTGGCAACGTTCACGTCCCTTTAAGAAGCTGTAACACCCCGAGTCACGTAAAAATGTGACTCAACATAATACATGTGACTTTTGTTTGTGCGTTTACGTGAAGTTATCGTCCATTTATCGTTATCGAGGTGAAATCCTCAACATATAGTGATATTGATTTTAGGCCATATCACCCAGCACTACCATGGTCTCAGATTTAGAGAAGCTGATTCTCATCCCAGCTGCGTCACACTCGGCTGCGAACCACTCCAGCGAAAGCTGAAGTTCACATTCTGATGAAGCCAACAGGACCACATCATCTGCAAAAAGCAGAGACCTGATCCTCAGGCCACCAAAACGGACGCCCTCCACACCTTGGCTGCGCCTAGAAATCCTGTCCATAAAGGTTATGAACAGAATCGGTGACAAAGGGTAGCTTTAGCGGAGTCCAACTCTCACTGGGAATGAGCCCGACTTACTGCCGGCAATGAGGACCAAGCTCTGACACCGGTCATACAGGGACCTAACAGCCCGTATCACAGGGCCTGGTACCTCATACTCCCGGAGTACCCCCCACAGGGCCCCCTGAGGGACACAGTTAAACGCCTTCTCCAAATCCACAAAACACATGTAGACTGGTGGGGCAAATTCCCACGCACCTTACAGGATCCCCCTAAGGGTATAGAGCTGATCCAGTGTTCCACGGCCAGGACGAAAACCATGTTGCTCCTCCTGAATCTGAGGTTAAACAATCCGACGGACCCTCCTCTCCAGAACCCCTAAATAGGCCTTACCAGGAAGGCTCAGGAGTGTGATCCCCCTGTAGTTGGAACACACCCTGCGGCCCCCTTTTTAAATAAGGGGACCACCACCCCGGTCTGCCAGTCCAGTGGAACTGCCCCCGATGTCTACGCAATATTGCAGAGCCGCATCAGCCAACACAGCCCCACAACATCCAGAGCCTTAAGGAACTCCGGGCAGATCTCATCCACCCCTGGAGCCTTGCCACAGAGGAGCTTTTTAACCACCTCAGTGACCTCAGCACCAGAGACTTGAGAGGCCAACCCAAAGTCCCCAGACTCTGCTTCCTCACTGGAAGAAGTGTCGGTGGGATTGAGGAGGTCTTCGAAGAATTCTCCCCACCGATCCACAACGCCCTGAGTAGAGGTCAGCAGCACACCGTCCCCAATATAGATAGTGTTGGTAGCGCACTGCTTTCCCCCCTTAGGCGCCGGATGGTGGACCAGAATCTCCTCGAAGCCATACGAAAGTCTTGCTCCATGGTCTCACCGAACTCCTCCCATGACCGGGTTTTTGGCTTGGCGACCACCCGAGCCGCGTTCCGCTTGGACTGCCAGTACCTGTCAGCTGCTTCTGGAGTCCCACAGGCCAAAAAGACCCGATAGGACTCTTTCTTCAGCTTGACAGCATCCCTAACCGTCTGTGTCCACCAGCGGATTCGGGGGTTGTCACCAGGACAGGCACAGACGATCTTGCGACCACAGCTCCGGTTGGCCGCCTCAACAATTGAGGCACGGAACAGGGTCCATTCAGATCCAATGTCCCCCGCCTCCCCCGGAACATTTTGGAAGTTCTGTCGGAGGTGGGAATTGAGGCTCCTTCTGACAGGAGACTCTGCCAGATGTTTCCAGCAGACCCTCGCGATACGTTTGGGCCTGCCAGGTCTGACCGGCATCCTCCCCCACCATCTGAGCCAACTCACCACCAGGTAGTGGTCAGTTGACAGCTCCGCCCCTCTCTTCACCCGGGTGTCCAAGACATGCAGCTGCAGGTCAGATGAAACAACAACAAAGTCGATCATCGAGCTGCGGCCTAAGGTATCCTGGTGCCAAGTGCAAATATGGACACCTTTATGTCTGAACATGGTGTTCATTATGGACAATCCATGACTGGCACAGAAGTCTAATAACAAAACACCACTCGAATTCAGATCAGGGGGGGCCGTTCCTCCCAACCACACCTCTCCAGGTCTCACTGTCGTTGCCCACGTGAGTGTTAAAGTCCCCCAGCAGAATGAGGGAGTCACTTGAAGGAGCGCTTTCCAGCACCCCCTCCAAGGTCTCCAAAAAGGGTGGGTAGTCTGAACTGTAGTTTGGTGCATGATAATCAATTTCCCTCTGGGATTAATAAAGTATTTTTGAATTGAATTGAATTGAATGAGCACAGACCACAGTCAGAACCCGTCTCCCCACACGTAGGCGGAGGGAGGCTACCCTCTCATTCACTGGGGTAAATCCCAACGTACAGGCACCAAGATGGGGGGCAACTAGTATGCCCACCCCTGCTTGGCGCCTCTCAGTGGGAGCAACTCCAGAGTGGTAGAAAGTCCAACCCCTCTCAAGGAAACTGGTTCCAGAGCCAGAGCCATGCATTGAGGTAAGTCCGACTCTATCCCCAGGCTCAGTAAAGGTTAGTCGGAAGCTCAGGCTCCATCCCCACCAGAGAGGTGACATTCCATGTGCCAAGAGCCAGCTTCTGTAGCCGAGGATCCGACCGTCAAGGTCCCCGCCCTCGACTACCGCCTGTCACACACTGCGCCTGACCCCGTTGGCCCCTCCCACGAGTGATGAGCCCATGGGAAGGGGGACCTACGTTTCCTCTTCGAGCTGTGCCCGGCCGGGCTCCATGGGTGAAAGCCAGACCACCAGGCACTCGCCAACATGCCCCACCTCCAGGCCTGGTTCCAGAGGGGGGCCCCAGTGACCCACATCCGGGCGAGGGAACATGGTTTCCATTTATATAATTCATCATAAGAGGTCTTCGGGCTGCTCTTTGTCTGATCCCTCACCCAGGACCTGTTTGCCATGGGTGACCCTACCAGGGGCAGAAAGCTTCAGGCAACTTAGCTCCTAGGATCGAGATACTCAAACCCCTCCACCATGGTAAGGTGGCAGCCCAGGGAGAGGCCATTAAACATCTGTTTTTGTAATTTCAGATAAACATTTCACTGCTTCTGGTTTGGTAGCGAGTGACAAAAAACATCAAATAAATAGATCCACACAGGAAAGCAGTTGAGTCTGACCTGGAAGTCAACAGCTCTCTTGCTGGCCAGGTCAGCCTTGTTTCCTGAGAAAGCGATGACTATATTAGGACTAGCTTGTCTTTGAAGCTCCTTCACCCAGTTCTTAGCCCGAGCAAAGGACTCCTGCAAAAGAAAGGCAGAGGGCAACTCTTAAATCACCTCCAGCTTCTTGTTCAACACTTCTGGATGAGCAGTCGAGTCAGAAGCCAAGGCAGCACTAATGACCACTCCGGATCTGGTGTACGTGCCTCATTTGTGATGTCGTAGACCACAATGGCGGCTTGTGCTCCTCTGTAATACATGGGTGCCAAACTGTGGTAACGCTCTTGACCTGCAGTGTCCCAGATTTCAAACTTCACTGTTGTGTCATCTAGACACACCGTCTGAGTGAGGAAAGCAGCTGAGGGTGCAGAATGAGGATGAGTCAGCACTTTTATGAAACTACACTCTTCCATGCAATGAACACAAAACGGGCCGCAAATAAAACAGAGCATCAAATATCAATGTGCTCCGAACATTTGTATTTTGCTTGAATTCATTCAAGTTCAGGTGTAAACGCATTCCAAAGATTCCAAAACGACGCTCACCTCCTATTGTGCTTTCCTGGAATTCGTGGAACTGGCCTTTAACGAAGCGAAGCACCAGGCTGGACTTCCCCACGGCCGACTCCCCCAGCAACACCAGCTTAAACTGACAGATCTTGTTGCCGGCGTTGGGTCCGTTGGGTCTCGTAGCGCCTCCTCGACTGGCCATGTCCTAATCAGATTCTCCGGTGTCCCGCGGGCCAAACGTCTCTATCGACACGTCTGCTGCAGGAAGCAAGGAAAACATGGGCCAGCTTTTAGGCCGATGTAAACGCGTGATGCCCACTGAAACCATGGCTGTCTAATGTAAAGAGCATTGTTATTTCTGTGGGAATAACAATAAAAGAAAGACCATTTTTTTATAATTATTTAACAAAGTACTATAATCTCCCACATATAACCCAGTGAGCTCTATTTACTGACCGAGTATTTTAGTGAGAGATGATGGTTCTTAATGTTGGAGCCTGATCCTCGCTTATGGAGAAGTGTTGTCGTATCGTTCTTTAAAGGTGCAGTACGTAAGACGACGGTGAGATTTTTACAGTGACAAAATCCCAAGAGTCGAACGTTTCAATCTTTTTGGAAGGAAGTTTATACTGAAACATATTTCATATCCAGCTGGCTGCTGGATCGTCACTTTTTCTCCTATCAAAACAAAGGAAGGAGGGGCGTAACTACTGTTTACCATCCATGAGTGTGAGGTTGCCATGTCTCCTGCAAGCTAATGCAGCAGCACAGACTATTGTAATTTGACGACGGCCGGCAAAAAGCTCCAGTTGTTTAAAGTGGTTGCAATAACCACATTTTTATTTCATTTCTACATAATGCACCTTTAATTCTCACATATCCATTAAATACATATATGTTATATACCAAAATTTCTTTAACCGGCTATTGAAGCCCCTTAACATTTAATAGCCGGTTAAGCAGAAACCAACCAGCAACTTACGTTGTCAACTGCATTTTTTACGGGGCGGGCGTCGGAACGAGCTCCCGCACAGTGAGAATAGACATCACATCTCTAAAGCTGATCTTCATCTGCGTACGTCACATGATCAGGAAGCAGAAAATCCATGAATTAGGAGATCGTTTTGGGACGCTGCTGTAAAAAAAAGTGAGGCGCTAACCGGAAAAGCTTCTGCCGATCACAATTCCACAACGGATCATGAAAGAACGGATAACGCTTCAAACACGCGGATTCTTCCTGATATAACAAATGAGACTACTCTTTCTTTTGGTAGTTTTGGTGTTTACGGGATCATAGAGCACAATGTTCTGCGACCTTTCAAAAAACAGTAAAAACGCTCAAAAATGCTGGCAGTGGATGAGTTAGGCAGGTGTGTCTGTCGAGTTGTGGGAAAAAGCCTCAAACAGCTAGCCTGGCAAGCCAGACTAAATAAATGTATTATTTAGTCTGGCCACGCTCCATTGATGGCTCTCGGTTGTGGGGCGGGTTCTATCGTTGTCTTTCAAATGATCTCCGCATTCCACTGGACAATGAAGGTGACATACTCTTGTTTCACTCTGTTGCATCATACCACCCACCAGGCATATAGAGTGCCCTGATTGGCCCACAAAGCGGATAAAGCTCTGTTATTTGTTCACTAAGCAGATAGAGCACTATGATTGGCCCACAATTATGGACCAATCACAGCTCTTTATGTGTTTGAAACCCCTTGAGAGAGTTGTGATTGGCTAGCCAGAGTCCTGGTAGGAGCTGCGGAGGTTCCAATGGAGCGTGCCTAGACCAAACTTTGCAAAGCAAGAATTTGGTCTAGTTCACTAGGCTATCAAACAGCAGCACCAGTTGATCATTTTACATGCAAATGCAATAAAAACCAGAAAGCTGCTGTTTTTAGACACGCTACGTCGACGACTACTGAATATTTTTTTATGCATCAACTTCCATAAATAAACTTCCAAACTTCTGCTGTACTGCAGATGAGCCTCACACAAGTTTTCCTAAAACAACCGTGAGACGTAGATAAGAAAACATATTTATGGAACAAAATAATAAAGTAATTACATTACACTTCATTTTTGTTATAGAGCACAAAAATCTACGCCCTGCCTTATAGAGCTCCGGACCCCATGTGACTCTCAGTTAGTGGACGCCATTTTGGCATGCAAAAAAGGTAAACAAACACGGATGTAACCATGAACATGAACGGGATCCGCTTGGATTTTACTTCGTCGGAGTTTACTTCACACTTTAAAACAGAAGAAATCGTTTTATATAGTCAGAAATTAAATAGACTAAACATCTCCGACCCTTACCGTGCCCCTGGGATACTTTTTAAAAACGCCAGAAGTCGTAGCGGACTTCTTACCGGCACAACACCGGACCTGGCCGGGGAAACCCCTTGGGATTCCCCCGGCCGGAGGAGCTGGGGAGAAGGTCTGGGACTCTCGACTCTACTACCCGCTCCAACGCCAGAAGCTGTCGGAGCGGACCGGCACAGCACCGGACCTGACCGGGGAACCCCTTGGGATTTACCCGGAGGAGCTGGCTCCGGCGGCTGGGGAGAGGGAAGTCACGCTACTGCCCCAGCAACCCGACTCCGGATACGCGGATGAAAATGGATGGATGGACGGACAAATAACAGATTTACATGTAAGTAGTCTCGGTGAGACAGATAATAGCAATCCAAAGTGCTTTTTATGTGTGATCTGATCAACCATTGCTTAAAAATTAAATACGGCTTAGCCGGTTAATTGCTGTCATCATAAAACACGTAAACGGCAGCACGCAGAACTCACGAGGCAACGTTTTACGTGATGTTTACTTGTTGCTATGAGTAATAAGACAGAAAAAGCCACGCCAAAATAAGTTTAGGAAGCCCACTAAGAATCATAATAAAAGCATTTAAAATAAATACCATACACAGTTGAGGAAACGTTGGTTTAAGTACCTGATATGAAGCGGTCGCTGCATAAGCGAAAACCTTTACTCTCGGGATCCCACAGCTTCATTTTCGCCCGGTCACTAGCGTGTTTTATTACAATGATCCAACGTTTGCGGCGCTCCGGATCTTGGGGAATCCTGTAGATGTCTCATTCCTTATGTCGTCCGCGTCTGTTCTGCATCCTGGGGCACAACAGGAATCTACCATATTTCCCGTTTGATTGAGTTTTCTGACAATAGTAAATAGTCCAGCTGCCGGCTTCTGCATGCCAATATGGCGCCGTTTCGATTTGAACTGTTGCATGCCGGGAGAAGTGACGTCAACTCCCGGAGCTCTATAGGAAGCTGCTGCTTTGACTATTTTTAATGGAGTCCCAGTTTGTTAGTTCACATGTCCTCTGTCCACAAAGTTACGGCACCAAAACAGTTGAAATAAGCATGAAACGTGTATCCAGCAGAGAAAAAAATCACATTTTCATTTCAACAAATATTTGGACAACATTTCTGATAGAAATCTTGATTTTTTTTGATAACCTGACAGAAAAACATCCTTAAAAACTACATTTTGGCAACAACTAAGCGTTAAAGACCCAAATAAATAAAGAACCAAAACCCAAAGCTGCCACAGAAACAAAATAGAGTCTTAGTGGAACCCAACAATGATCCATAGGGCGAGAGAGAAGGACAGACACACCCAAAATAATCAGGATGCATACCGCGCATCGCTCACTTAACCTATTTAGAAATAAATGTTAGCTAAAAACCAGAGGGTTGTTCTCAGGAGATAGTAATCTGTGTTTGACCTTACAGGGAGACGTTGAGGATGCAAACATCCAGAGGCTCTAATCCCATCTGCTGTTTCATGGGAATAAAGCCTGAAGGTGCACTTAACTACAATAAAGACATTTTGCTTATCTTGTCCTTTGAGACATGTTTCATCACGGTGGTTCTGACAATTATCGGGCAGATTTTGAGTCCAAATATGTTTATTTTTCTGTGTCAGTGATAATTATGATGGTAAACAAAAAAACACCAGTCGATTGATCAAAAACTCAAAAATCTGATTTAATTTTGCACCATTAGTGGATGCTAGTTTGTACTAGCAGCTGTAGTTCTTCAACAGGAAGGAGTTTGCTTTCAGAATCCTGTTTAAAGTGGCAATGTGTAGTTTTACCTTTAATCTCTGGAAATATCCATCTAAATGTTAAAAATGACGTTTAGTTGTTGAAAAACATTGGTGGCTTTGTAACATTTAACCATAAAATTTGGTCAGAGCGCGGGTGTAGCGTCTTTGGGGGGGATGCCTTATTAGACGCCATGTTTCCTTCTGGCCGGCTCAGGGCCCTGACCCTGGATATACGACTTTACAACGTTAGCACGTTTGAAAACATTTAGGTGGTAAGAAACATGAACTCAATAACAAAACTGCTAAACCTGTGTGAAGGAACAGAACTGAAAAAGAGATGCAATGTTTTGGCTGAGTGGTGCTGCCGTAGTACGATGATGTCATCGGCAGGCGCAGGACACCAAGCAGATCCGGAAGCTACAGCGCCAGAAAGCTAGCATCGGCACGGAGTTCTCTTGATGTAATTAAAGGACCAAGTCTGAAGGGTCACAACTCACATCCAGGTTGCATGCATTTACCATTTACTTGGACTTGACATCAGCCTTTGATACCATTGATCATAGCATCCTAATAAACCGGCTGGAGCGGTTTGTGGGCATTTCGGGCCAGGCACTTAAGTGGATAAGATCCTACTTGACAGGGAGGAGTTTTTGTGTGAGGTTGGGGGACTATGGCGCGGTATGGGGGCCAAAATTAAGACTACTGCCCAGCAGCAGGAGGCAATATAAATTCTGAAGCAAACTACCGACCTGATTAATGATAAGCTGGCGCCGGTAACTGAGAGGCCGGAGCTGCTTACTGAGGAATAACACCTTTACCGGCGTTACTACTAGATACGCTAGGGACTAGCAGCCCTCGGCTGGTCATTGACTGGTTCACACACTCCCTCTGCTGTCTATTAGCATGGATAGGCTAGCGTTAGCCTGGACGGGCTGGTGTTAGCATTGGAGAAGCAAGCTATTAGCATGCCTAGGCTGGCCACTAGCTGGATTTCCTACCCCCTTGATGGACCATTAGCATGGATAGGCTGGCATTAGCGTCGGAGAGGCTAGCCGTTAGCATGTCTCGGAGAGTCACTAGTCAGCTAGTGGCATGCCTAGGCACGCTAATGGCTAGCCTCTCCGATGCTAACACACCGTCACCTTATTAAGGATGTGAGAAAAAGTTGATAGACTGAAATATCGCAATATTTCCCGAAATGATACAGAGCAAATTTTTTAGACACTGTACCAATTTTTAATAGAAAATTAATAACATGCAAACATTTTTGTGTGGTGTAATTCAAGTTCTGACTGCTAGGCGGCAGCAGTTTTTACCGTCTTCATTCTGACGGAACGAGAACTCACGATAACGCTTGAAGCATCTAGATTTGAGTTTTCCAATTACATTTCATCTTGAAATTTGTAAATATCACCTGGCTTATTGCAAAATGTCACAATTTATTATTTTGTCTCCCTTGTAAGGTGAAATATGTCATATCAGCAAGTTCTTGCCATACACACCCCTTGTTAAGGTTAATGGAAAAAAAGAGTAAACATTTTCTGTTAATTATAGGAGATTTAAGTAAATTAGTATTGGCAATGCTATACGTTTATGTTTATGTATTTAGCTGCTATATTATCAGAAATTGGTGCATCTCTACTCAATATTACAAAAACACAATGAACATCTTGCAGTTACTGAACCCCACAAGTTACCTGAATGTTATTTTTAAAGAAACAGCTGTAACCGAATGCAAAAACAATTCAAGCAATTTTCATCAAAATAAAAATAAAAGTATTTTTGATCAAGTGTCCATTTTTCATCCCTGCCCAGCAACAATATTTACATATATACACAATACTTACACACCGGCTTCATGTAGATCCTGTAATGTAACTACAGGATCTACATGAAGCTGGAGCTCGAGCCTGAATGGGTAATGCCATTTATGCCACATTAAGTGACACAAATCACAGTTTTATTTCAAAAGCCTTATATTTTAACAGAAACTTGAATAAACTAGGTAAATCTATTTTTTGTGGTTGTCTGTGAGATAGTCCTGTAGTCTGCTGATGTTTTAGAGGCATTTAAATGTCAGATTTATTATGTTTATAGGATTGTGTCTAATCTGTCTAATGGATGTTTTATAATAAATCAGCGTATACTTGGGAGACCTAAATTGGACTTAATTTTTACTTGTATGATTATTATTGGAAAGTTGGGTTTCTGATGTAGGCCAGTGAAGTAAAATAAATATTCAAGAAGGAGTCCATAAAAAATGTTCAAAAACAAGACAAGCACACAGGAAACAAGAGGCAAGGACAGGTTGTGTTTACCTAGACTTTTGACACGGAGTGTCATCAAACACTGCGTGACTGCTTTGCTCACAATATTGGATTAAACTCCAATTCGTTTACTATAAACACACTGAAACTGTTAGCTCACTCGTTAGCATTAACATCTACTTTAAATTAGAAAGTGACGCCTTTATATTGTTCTGTGGCTTGTTAGCTTACATGCTGCTAAGTGCCAGCCTCAACTGGACAGATAATAAACACTAGACACCACTATAAGTAGGAAACGATACACATAAAACACCAATATTTTAACTTTAATACCGTACATTTGTCTGCTAAAGCTACATTATAAGGTAAGGAGCCGAACCCTCATTAGCTTTTTAGCACTTGCTAGCATCCTACCCACCCTAAACGCTACCGAATAAACAAAGTGTCTGTTTACTTTATTTGGAGCTCACTAAAGGAGTCACTTCTTCCCATTAAAAGACTTGCTGAGCTCGTTTGGAGGTGGTAAATATTTCTTTAACCCGCTGTTATCGGATATGGCTACAGGCAGCTAGCACAAGCGCTGGCTAGCGAAGACGATGGTGAACAGAAGAGCTAAACGTTAGCGCTAATCGCTCAGCCAGCTGCAAACACCGAGCTGTCAAATACCTGAGAGCCAGACGACGAGCTGAACTTTTTAATGCCACCGCTTTAGTTTATCCACACACGGAACCCGGGGTACTGCGGTGAGCTGGTCACGGGGGAGCCAGGAGAATAATTTCAAGAATCCCGTCACGTCTCCTCCTTCCTTTCTTCTCGCAACTTCCCTCTAGAATCAAAACACAAACAAGCTCTTCCGCCCTGCGCCACGTCACACGGCACGTCGCACTGAGGGCTTCTAAACAGACGCAATATACCAAAAATATAAGAGTTCACACACACACACACACACACACACATATATATGTGTGTGTGTGTGTGTGTGAATGTTATATATATATATATAAATCCCTTTTTGTTACTCAGTGGAGAAGAATCGGTGTCATGGTAGCAATTAAATTAACTACAGGAGCAAAAGGGAGAGAGTCCAAAAAGGACAAAAGAGAAATTTTTAAAAGATTCAAAATACTTAAAGCTTGAAAAATGAGATTATTGCATATACAAATTTAGAAACACATTTATATTGGTAACATTTCTAAACAACTAATATATTTTGTTGCTTGCAATTTTATTTTTATTTTTAAGTTTGTATTCTGTACCAAAGCTCTAATTGTTAGAAAGGAAAGAACGAAAACAATATTTTATGTAGTTTTCATGATAAAAATCACGAGGCGCTTCACAAAAACAAACCCAAATAAATTAAAGTTTAAAAGAGATTTCAAAAAATGATCAAAAAATGAGAAAAATTTAACTTGTGATTTATAAAAATGTAAGAAAAGGGAGAGAGGCAAATCAGTGGATCCCGGGAAAGGCGGAATAAGAGCAGAATAAGGAAAGTGTGGTGATGAAGATCACACCAAAGCCTGAACAGGTGAGTCTTCAGCGGTCTTTTAAAGGAGACCACTGAGTCCACTGATCTCAGGCTCGGGGGGTAGAGGTCCAGAGTCTGGGAGCCACAGCAGCAGATGATTTTTCACCTTTGGTCTTTAGCCTGGTGCTGCACAACCAGTAGGCTTTGATCACTGGACCTCAGGGACCTGCTGGGGGTGTAGGGACTGAGAAGATCGTCAATGTAGGATGGTGCTTGTCCATGTAAGGCCCTATAGACCAGAACCAGGATCTTGAAATGAACCCTGAAGTTGACTGGCAGCCAGTGAAGCTGGAGGAGAAGCGTGGTGATGTGGGTGTGTTTGGAGGACTTGGTCAGAAGCCGAGCACAGGCGTTCTGAACCACCTGTAGACGGTTCAGGGAGGTTCTGCTCAGACACGTGAAAAGAGAGTTACAGTAGTCTAAGCGTGAGGAGATGAAGGTGTGGAGAACTGTCTCAAGTTCAGAGCGGGACAGCTTAGCAATGTTCCTGAGATGGAAGAAGGAAGAGCGAACAAGAGAACTGACATGAGAATCCAGGGTGAGAGCTGGGTCAAAGGTCACACCAAGATTCCTGGGAGATGGTTTGGTGTGAGAAGCAAGCTGACCAAGAGAGTCTCTGACTTTGGGAACCAGCTTGTCTGGGGCACAGATGCAGATCTCAGTCTTATCTTCATTCAGCTGAAGAAAGCTCCCACCATCCAGGTTTTGATAGAGTCTAAGCAGGTGTGTAACAGCTGCAGCTTAGACATCTCATGGGGCTTAAAGGAGATGTACAGTTGGATGTCATCTGCGAAAAGATGGTAGGAGAGTCCTTTAAAGGAGCTCAGTACAGAACCTTGTGGGACACCATGGGCGAGGAAGGTAGAGGAGGACCTAAACTTGGAGACGGCCACAGAGAAGGAACGTTCAGCCAGATGAGTGCTTTGTCCTCTGTACATCATAGTGGAAAAAACACTTAGCTTTCATAACTTTTATGTATTCAAAATATTTAACTGCACAATATTGGAGTGTTGAGGACAACAAATAATTAATAAAAATGTGGAATGTTTTATTTTATGTCCACAGAAAAGCATTGTTTCAAGGAGAAATTGCAGCATTCACGGGCTTATACAGAAACACTCCACCGGGTGGCGCTGTCGCCTTTAGCTTTAAACAAGCAAAGAAGAACTCTTCTTCTACTAGTTTATTTAATTTTCATCTCCCTGAAGGCTATCGCATGTTTTTATACATTCTGCGCTTGTTTTGAGCCTGAAATTTGAGGATTTTACAAAAGTGACGCACATTTTTATTCATGCAGTTTATGAAAATTAACTGAAGCGCGTGAACAACCAAAGTTATGGAGGGGGAGGCACCGGAGGAGCTCCTGATGAAGCAGCACCGCAAAGAGAAGAAGGACCTCCAAGGTTAGCAACGTTTACCTGCTTTTAATCTGAGTTTACTCACGGGTTTACCTCATTTACATCCTCTGTTCGGAGCATTTAGCCCTCCACGAGCGCGCGTCACCAATTAGACCAGTTGATATTTACACTGGGAAAGCGGAATAACAATAAAAGTAACACACATAACCAAAAATCAGCTAGAAAAGTAAAAACTATGCTAATCGTAATTAGGAAAAGAAAACTACGAAATAAATGCTGAAAATTGAAATGATCACTTTGCAAAATAAACAAAAAAAAAAGACAAAAACGCATTTATAATCAAATGGTCAATTATTTTAAACGATGATATAATTAACACGTGCTTAGAAAATGCAAGTAGATCTGCCCAGCAGGAAGACGAACAAAAGGACTCAAATTTACCATATCTTGAGATGTTTTAATGATTCATTCACACAGATTTGCAACTGCAGGCATGTACCAATGTTTTTATTTGATAATTTTGCTGTTTATTGACACCGATCTGATTTTAATCTGCACCTTCCTCTTTGACAACGTTGCATATCTAACCGTGTGTGTCGTTTTCTCACGCTTCACATGTTTGTGTTTTGTTTTCAGCTAAAATCCAGAGTATGAAGAATGCGGTGCCCAAAAACGACAAGAAGAGAAGGAAGCAGCTGACCGAGGAGATCGGGAAACTGGAAGCCGACCTGAATCGGAAACACGAGGAGGAAATCAGGCAGCTCAGATCTACAGCTGACTCGAAGGTGATCGCTGCAGCGGGATAGAAAATGTGCCTTTACTCTGACTGAGTTTCAGACTTCTTCTAACAATCCTGTCAGGTGGAGGAGGTGGCAAACGGGGTGGAGACCATGAAGGTGGAAGGTGGAGGAGAGGAAGAGGTGAAGCAGCCGCGAGTCACTAAAGCTCAGAAACGGAGGGTGAGAAGTCTAATTCACTAGAAACTTTCCATTTTTGATATGTAAAAGTGGCATTTAGTGGATTAAATAGCGATTATTATCGGTTGTTGTTTTGTTGATGCCCTCCAGGACAAGAAGTCTGCCCAGGAGAAGGAACGCGAGAGCAGGATAGCAGAGGCAGAGGTGGAGAACCTGCAGGGCATGAGGCACCAGGAGGGATTGAAACTGGCTCAAAAATTGGCCCAAAAAAAGCTTCAGATCAAGGAGATTTCCTCCGACGGTCACTGCATGTACCGCGCCATCGAAGATCAGCGGGCTCGCCACGCTCAGGTGACCATCTGCACCAATTTTGTTTCAACCCTGCTTCAACACACCTGATTTCAGTCAGCAGGTGATTAGCAGGCTTCTGCAGAGCCTGATGAGCTGCTGCACAGGCGACTCAACCACTGAATCAGAAATGTTGGCGCAAAGACATGCAGGATACCTGACAGTCATGTTTTTGCGCCGTGGGAGGAAGCCGGA